TCAAATACGATTATGTACGGTCGTATAATATACGATATACGATCATCAAATACGATCATGTAATTATTTATTTTTTTATTTAATCATTATTTATATACGGTAAAAAAGATTCACTAGGTAAAAAAAATTCCTATACAATGATTAATATCCTAAGAACCTAAAAATTCTAATCCTTACATTATATTAACTAACAACAATGTGCCACTTAAAAACCAGAGAAACACTACGGCACTGACGTAGCCACCATCGATATTAAACACCCAACTGTCAATGGCTTCAAGAAGAGCAGTAACAGTTAAGTGTTAATACCTGAAACTAGATTGTTGTTTAGAGATGACTTCTTCACTATTTAAAAAGTTGTATAACTGATCCTATACAATCCTCTCGAACACTTTGGCGAATACGGAAATGACTGAGTTAGGCCGGCAGTCGTTTAAATCACTCTGGCACATTTCCAGTCGTCAGGAAATGTGCCAGACATCAGGGATTATTAAAAAGATCGCATAACGGGCCTGAAATAATATCAGCACACTAACGAATTAACCTGGCAGAGATATAATCTAGCCCTGTAGCTTTAGTTTTTGACAATCTATTTAGATAAGTCGAGACAACACTGGTAGTAGTTGGACGAAAACAGAATTTGTTGCAATTTTCAGGAGTATTGTTTATATAAATAGACTCTTCGTCCGAAGTTATAGGTATTTCGCGGGCTGGTCCGGGCCCAATAGTTGAAAAATATTCGTTAAAGGCGTTGGAAATCTCGTTAGAGTTACAGATAGAGATATCATTTACTTTCACTTCCTTTACTATCTGGTTGTTCTGACCACGAGACATCAGGTTGATAATGGTTCTCCAAGTCCTTCCAGCATTTCCTTCGGATTGAATAAAACTATCGTGATAATAGGATGCCTCAGTGGTTTTCACCTTATTTCTGATTCGATTTCGGAGCAGTCTGTAATTGGCCCAGTCTTTAGGATTCCTTGTTCTTATGGCTTTCCTTTTTAGCAGCATCGCGACAGCGCATATCTTTCTTCAAGGCTGAATTAATCCAGGGTGTTTTATTCAATTTAGTACGTCTAGTTCGAAAAGGAGCATGTGAGTTAACAACGCGCCAAAATTTTGTTTTCCAGTAAGACCATGCCAAATTTGGATCCTCTGATTCATCTAACGACCAGTATTGCTGAGACATTTCATTTCGAAAACTTCCACCATCAAAATTTCGAAAATTTCTGTAAGAGATGGAAGAGTGTCCTTAAGATGGTAAATCACAAGAGAGTTTCCGATAAACTTAGAAGAGGTTATGACCGCTGATGGCAATATGAGAGACTCCGGAACAGCCTACCATGTCTGTTTAATTGCAGTGTATAGATCAAATATATATGTATAGATTCTGTAACACACGTTGGTTCATTTATTAGATGTTTGAGCCCATATAAATCCGAAATCTTTCGCTAACGATGAGTGTTTGCATCAGCGATAAGAGAGGCCAAATTACAATTGAAGTCACCAAACAAATAGCACTTTAGGTCAAGAGAATCTGATTTGCTTATAAATGACTAATAACTCGAAAATAGATTGGTTGGAGAGCAAGGAGGTCTGTACCATGTCGTTACTAAAAATGGTTTAGAGTTATGTTTATGAATTTCTATAGTTAAATTTTCAAGATTAATTGCGTTTAGATCGGAGCGCACTATACAAGAATTTGAAGACTCTATGTAAAAACTTACCCCTCCACCATGTCTATTTCTGTCACGACGGATAAATTCGTGGCCTGGCATATGGAGTTCGGAACTTTTTATGGTTCGTCAAGTTTAGTTTCATTAATTTCCAGGATATCCTATGAAAACTCAGCAAGAAGAACTCAAAGTTCGTCAACATGTTTGACAAGACTGTTAATGTTCAAACAGACCATTTTGTAACCACGTTTAGCTGTAAAAAACTAGACACAGGACCCGGACTACCTGAGTGAATTTCGTTGTCAATTATCCAACTTTCTCTCCGTCTGACGGATATCCTTAATCTCAAGATTATACATTGCTTGATTTATGTCAAATTGAAACTCTTTTCGCTCTCTCATGTGTGATTCAAAGACTCTGATT